GTGTGTGTGTGTGCGTGTGTGTGTGTGTATGTGCGTGTGTGTGTGTGTATGTTCGTCTGTCCGGGTGCTTCAACTCGCCAATCACGCAAGCTTCAAGGCTGAAATTTTGCCAGTGTGTTCCCCAGCCAAGTGTTACCCCAGGGTCGCAGAATCAACTCTCACGCACGTCTGGGCCCGGCGTACCGGCGCGTGATAGTTTTGGCGCGAAAATTGATAACTCGAGAACGAAAAAAGCTAAAAAGCTGAAACCTTGGGGCAATATTCCCTACCTGTGTATGACAAAAAGATTTGAAATTCAGCTGCCCAGGACTGCCCGGGGCTCACGTACGAGCACGTGGAGATTTTGGCGCGAAAATCATTAACTCGGGAACGGGAAAAGCTAGAAAGCTGAAAATTTAAGGGAATGTCCCCTACTCATGTACGAGCAAAATCAGATGTTTAAAAGTGCCCGAGCCCACTTATGAGCGCGTGGAAGTTTTGGCACGAAAATTACTAGTCCGGGAAAAGGAAAAGCTAGGGAGCTGGAATTTTGAGGGGATGTTCCCTAATCATGTATAACCAAAACCGGTGTTTAGAAGCACCCGGAGCTCACGTACGGGCACGTGGAAATTTTGGCGCGAAAATCACTAGCCCGGGAACGAAAAAAACTGGAAAGCTGAAATTTTACGGGAATGTTCCCTACTCATGTAGAAACGAAATCAGTTGTTTAGAGATGCCCGAGACCCAAGTACGCCACATGTGAGAGTTTTGGCGCGGAAATTACTAACCCTGGAAAGGGAAGAGCTAGAGTGCTGAAACTTTAAGGGAATGTTCCCCACTCACGTACGAGCAAAATGAGGCGTTTAGGAGCGTCCGAGCCCACGTACGAGTGCGTGGAAATTTTGGCGCGAAAATCACTAACCCGGGAACGAAAAAAAGCTAGGAAGCTGAAACTTTAGGGTTATGTTCCCTACCCATGTATGACCAAAAGATTTTAAATTCAGCTCCTTAAAGCCGTCCGGTACTCACGTACGGACACGTGAAAATTTTGATGGGAAAACTGCTAACTCAGGGACGGGA